ATCTCCGGATCGCTTTCTGAGGCTGACCGCTGAACCAAGACAGAGAATCCCAGGTGCAGACCCCTCAACTCAGCCACCAGGTTGAACCGGTTCACCTACAGAAGTGACCCTGTGGCCCTGACCTGAGATAAGTCACTTGGTGACCACCGCCGCCTCTTTCTATGATTCCATCTGGATTTGGCTGGCTGTGGGGACAAGCTTCAAGGGACTGCCGGAGTCTCCGTGGGACAGCAGTCAGCTTTCTGGCAACCATGGCAATTGCGGGGAACTGAAGGCACAGGCTCCAGCCTCAGCACAAGGCACACAGGTGAGTCTCGAAGCTTTGACCTAGAAGCTACTGGGTGATAATGGCCCAAAGGCAGATGCTAATGAAACAGTGCTAGGAGGTTTGCAGACACAGAACCTGGAGTTGCCTGCTTCAGGTGGGAGGGTCCCAGTAATCTGAGCCTGTAGATACCTGGGCCCCAGGACCCAACAATTAGGGATGTAGAATATGAGAGGTGGCATCCTGATGCCAGAGGGATGCTGTTGTTTTAATAGCATCTCTAGCTGTCTCATCATGTCATAGGTCCAAGCCTATTCGGAGAGTAAATGGATCAAGGAACAGCCACTCTGTGTGTGTGTGTGTGTGTGTGTGTGTGTGTGTGTGTGATGTGTATGTTGAATGTATGTATGCATGTGTGTTTTTTGCATGTTCGTGTGTAGATATGTATGATGTTATATCTGTATATGATGTGTATATATGTTTGATGTGTATACATGTATGATATATATGTGTATATGTATGTATGCGTATATGTGCATATATATCAGGGTAGGAATATGATACGGGAGGTTATTAATGGAGCATCTGCACCTCTCCAGCTATGAGTTAGGATCCAGAGAACTGAGCACAGTTAGAAGAAGGAAGGGTTTAAGATCTACCTAGCAACTTTTTCTCAGAGACTACATTTTGCAGTGAATTTTTTGGCATAAATAAGTTTTAGAATCCTGGCAATCAAAAAAAAAACAAAAACAAAAAACAAACAAACAAACAAAAAACCTGTAAGCTCTGCTGAGTTAGAAGCCATAGCTCACAGAAACTGATCCAGAGTTGCAAGTGAGGCTCCTGATCCATCTCAGCCCTTTTGGTGCTTCCAGAGAAACTTCTAGAACCAAGGTCCTAGCTCAGTCTTATGCCACATTTGAAGTTGCATTTTTGCAAAAGGAACATCATACAACTTCATTTCTAGAACTTTTTGAGCCATGGAGAGTCTTCAGGTCTCTGAACCCCCATAACTAGCAGAGATGCGGATTCTCTTTTGACCCTGTTCCTCAGCTATAATATCTGTATGACTTTGCAAAGCCCTCCCTCCTCCATCAGCTTTTAAGGTGCTCATTGTCCTCCCTGTCCCAGGGAGGGGGTCAGGAGAATGGACTTCACATCACAGGGATAAAGCACAGAAGGCTAGATGAGGTCAGCAGATTGGGCCACCTTCCCAAACTGATAGAAAAAGGAACACTTGTGCTGTGAGTTGCCCCCCACTCCCACACCTGTATGGAGCATGAGAGGATGTCCCACGCCTGCTTGGAAGGCATGAGGATGTCCCACACCTGTGCAGAGTGTGTGAGGATGTATCACACCTGTGCAGAGTGTGTGAGGATGTCCCACACCTGTGCAGAGAATGTAAGGATGTCCCACACCTGTGCAGAGCATGTAAGGATGTCCCACACCTGGGCAGAGCATGTAAGGATGCCCCACACCTGGGCAGGGCCTGTGAGGATTTCCCAGGGTGTTTTTAGCAGTCAGATACAGACTCTGGGAGACATGCTTGTGCCCTTCCCGACCCTTTATGGGGAGTGAATCATAACACCCCCTGGAGGTCAGTAGAACACCCCTCCCTGTTTACAAGGTAGCCTCCCTCTGATGGGCAAAGCTGAAGTCCGAGCTCCTTGAGCACTAGGGGACCTGTGACTCTGTCCATGCTGCCCAGGTTTTCCCTTCTAGCCCCCTCCTCTGATCATGCCCTTACAGACGTGCACTGGCTGGCCCTCCAAGATATGCACATCTCTGCTACCTTATAATGTCCCTGAAGATGACCACAGAAAGTGTACATCCTTGATACAGCAGCCATGACCCCCAAACTATCTAGTTACTGCCTCTTTCGCTCTGATTTCTAGTATTGTCATTCTTGCCTCTTTGGTCTCGCTTAAGTTATCTTTAAAATGGGAATGATAAAATGATGGGCTACCTTCCTCACCTGCTCCTGGTGCTCCCAGGAGGTCCCTGAGGGCAATGCATCTGAGGCCCAAGGGACATTTACAATGCACTAGCAGCTTGCACTATGACCACTACTCTAGATGATCAATTGTGACATGCTTGAGAATGCAAATGGGGTCTCAGAGTCCATCACCTGCTCCCGACAGGAGAAAACACAGTCCCACATAAAACCAGGGCAGGCAGAGCATGCTTACATTTTATTTCCAACTAATGAAGAGTTGAGAATTTCCAAACTCATACCTCTCACATCTGGCCCCCCTCAACCCCAGCACCTTTCCCTTGGCTCCCCTAGGCTGTTTCTCAGTCCAGCCAAGAGGTGGGGAAGATGGCTAGGAGAGGTTGCCTTGTGGACACACTCCAGATCATAGCAGTCTGGATCAATCAAGAGAGAAAGAAGATGGCATGAAAGTAGGGTTTCCTGCCCTTTAAGTTCTGGGACCTTCTGGCTGTAGATACTGTTGCCTCTGGCAGAGTGAGGGCTGTAGAAACAGTGGTCTTCTGCTTTGTAGCTCCCCAAGATCAAGGCCAGAGGGGAAGGGACCACACACATCCTGAAACCAGGGAGGTTCCCCTGTAACTGAGCAGGATTGGAGCCACCCAGGGCACCACCCAGAGGCCCTTGCTGGGTGGAGGGCTTGGATGGAGAGCCAGAGTTAGGAGACTAGCAGACTGGACACTATGGGGAGAGACACAGAAAGGCTGGGTGGGAGCTGTCTATGCGATCCTGGTAGACCCAAGGATCATCTTCATCTCCCATCTCTTCTATAGACTGGGAGAAAGACCAAGAGACCGAGTGCATGTGTGTTTATGTATGGGCCCAAGTGATTGACCCAGTGTGTGGGGAATATGGCATCTCATTACTTAGTGTGATAGAGCAGAAGAGACCCCATTGCTCCTGGGTCATTGGAAGGGCAGTTGAGCAGCCACTGGTCAGTGGCTCTTTTTCTTGATCCCAAAGTGCTATTCTCTGGAGACCAAATTCAAGTCAGGAAGAGAGCACACGTTTTTTTTGCCCTGGGCTTGCCTCCCCTTCATTAACCACACTGATGCTTCTTTCTTCATGCCCTGCCTTTAAAGAGGGATGGTTGACTCCAAGACCCATTGCAGCCTCCCCATAAGGACTTTCCAGGCACTGTACCATCTCACCCAGGCCATAGGGACTTGCTTGTTTCTTAGAATCTCAGTGGCTCTCCTCCATGCTGGGATTGTACCCATCTTCCTAGGGGCTTTGTTTTTCTAAAATTCACTTTAAAGAAAAGTAAAATGCCACCCCATCTAATTTATATTCTCTTCTGTCTTTACCTCCTTTTCCTCCCCTCCCCCGTCTTTATTTTTGTTAAATAGCTATACAGCTAAAGAGCATCAGCAAAACAAGTTAACATAAACTTATGGCCAGTTAGAACTGTGCTGAAAGCAACGTGTAAAATTATAGGGCATATATGTGAGGAAAAAGCCAAAGGATTTTGTGTAAACAAACACTTTGTAATTTGGTTTTATGAAAAGGATTTTTTCTCATTACACAAAGAATGCAATGGCATCTTAGAAAAACTCAAAAAATCCCTTTCAGCCTGGATCTCATAATGCCTTCCTGCCCTGGAGCCACCCGAGCAGGCTCTGAGGATGGCCTTCCAGTCACACAGTTCTGCGTGACAGAATTCGATGGTGTAGGCCTCACTGTTGTGCAAACACCATAGCTAGGTCACTTCAAGTGAGAGGATTCCCCAAGTCAGGAGCTCAAGACCTTGCTTCACCCTTGGGGGATCATACAGGCAAAAGTGTCCTGGCCACAGCTGCACATTAAGACTCATTGAGACAAATCAGCCCCTAGGCTCCCCGGGTAATGAATTCCTGCCATGGTCCACTGTGGGGCTAGGGGGCCATCTCACCTCAGTTGATCCTAAAACTCTCAATACATCTGTGCTTCTAGTTTCCCTTATCCAATTATCTGAGCCTCCCAAACTGCTGATGGCTTGCTTATTCAGTGGTTCTCAACCTTTCTAACACTATGGACACTTAATACAACTAGTTCCTCATGTTGTAGTGACCCCCAACCATAAAATTATTTTCATTGCGACCTCCTAACTGTAATTCTGCTACTGTTAAGAATCATAAAGTAGCCGGGTGTTGGTGGCGCATGCCTTTAATCCCAGCACTCTGGAGGCAGAGGCAGAGGCAGGCAGATCTCTGTGAGTTCGAGGCCAGCCTGGTCTCCAGAGCGAGTGCCAGGATAGGCTCCAAAGCTACACAGAGAAGCCCTGTCTCGAAAAACCAAAAAAAAAAAAAAGAATCATAATGTAAATATCTGTGTTTTCTGATAGTCTTAGGTGACCCCTGTGAAAGGGTCATTCGACCCCAAAGTGGTCATGACCCCCAGGTGGAGAACCTCTGGCAGAAGTTGCTGTCTACTCTCCTTCAAGTTCTGTCCGGCATGGCCATAGTGTCTCCAGCTTTAGGCTCCAGCCCCACAGAGAGCTGTTGAAAGGAAAGAACAGATTGCCATGCTGAAAGCTGTCCAGGGCTTGGTCTTCTAGCAGTGACCAGGGAGAGGCTGGAGATGGAGGGGTCCCGAGGACCTGGGTGGTACACCTAGCGCCTGTAGATGCAGAGAAAGGGCCCCACTCCAGGCTTGGGGCCATATGGGAGGGGAACTGGTTCGACCATTTGTTTGTTTTCCACATAGTTGACTTGGTGTCTTCTCTGTCCCCTGTGTTACCCAGTGTCTCTGCTGCTCCAGGACATGATGGACAACAAAGCCATGTACATGCACACCGTGAATGACCGTGACAACAGTTCCATCTTTGAGGAGCCCTTTGACGGCAGGAGCCTGTCCAAGCTGAACCTGTGTGAGGACGGTGAGTGCTTCTAGCTCTCGAGGACCCTTGCTTTCCACCCAGCCTTGATTACTCCAGTGCCTGCTGTCCTCCCTGCCTGGCTCTTCACTGGGCTTGCATGGAGGAAGAGAACACCATTCCACTTCTGAGAGGGTTGTTTTGAAAGGACTTCAGGCTGCCTGCCAAGAGACAGCCTCTATTCATGCTATACTCTCCAGAGCCATACTTTGTTTTGCAACACCCTGTCAAGGCATGACTCGGGAGCGATGGCTCTGGTCTTCTTCCACAGGAGCAGATGTACGAAGGAAGAAGTGTCTGGCATAGGGGGGAGGGGACAGCCCCAATAGGAGGGACAGACAAGGAGACCTGAGCTTCTGAGTAAGGGCTCCTTGACCCACCCTTGGGGACGCTCAGCAGTTAGCTCTTCCCCTGGGTCCTGGTCTGTGTGTTGGGTGTCAGGGATGCTCGGGACCAGCATCTGGCCTCAAACAGTTGCTAGTTGGAAGAGGAGCAGCCCTGAGAGTGGTCACCTCAGTGTGGATGTTGAGGTAAAACAGGGAAATGACTTCTGGAAAAGGGATGAAGAATGACTGTACCATTTTTTTTTCCTCTGCTGTAACAAAATGTCCAACAAAAGTACCTTAAGGAAGGGTGCATTTTATCTCACAGTTTGAGGGTGTTATGGCAGAGATGGTGTGGAAGCAGGGGCCATATTTTACCCTCAGACAGGAAGCAGAGAGGGATGAATGGGGGTGCTGAGCTCCCCTTCTCCATCCTATTTACGTGGGACCCTTGGCCATGGAATAACACTGGTGGGTCTCCCCCTTCACTTAAACATGTCTGAACATCCTCACAAACACTTAGAGATGTGTCTCCAAGGCAACTCTAAGGCCCATCAAGTTGTCAATTAAGACAAACCATCACAAAGACAAGAGGCAGGAAAAGGTTCTGTCAGCTTATTCCCCAGACTAGGCCAATGTCAATGTGTGAGTGCATTCATGCCTGTATGCATATGTGTGTGTGTGTGTGTGTGTGTGTGTGTGTGTGTGGCCTTGCTCAAGATATCAGCAAGGGTGGTACTGAGCCATGTTCTTGATTTGGCTCTGTTCTCATTGGTACATTAGTAAAGAGGCCAGGTTTGGCCAGAAAGGACTGGAATTGGGGAAGTTGGAAGGAGTCACCCAAGGTCAACCTAGGACACCAGGCTTGAGGTGGGGGTGAAGCCTGCAGTGTGGGGTGTCACTGGGACCACCACCTTTTCTTTCTCCCTTTCCCTCTCCTATTTTCTGGACCTCAGATCAAAAACAATCATTTGGACCAGAGAAACAAAACCAAGCAATGGGCCTGGCTCTGTGCTTCCTGGCGCCAAGCTGATGGATCTGTCAGAGAGCATCAGTGACACAGTGATTGATGAGGCTCTCAGCTGTGTTAGTGTCCTGAGTAGGTGTCCCCTGGACCCCAGTTTCTGGTGTACTGAAGCTAGGAGCTGTGGGTTCCAGACTGACTCTGGGCCTGTGTCTTCAACTGCCAGAAGGGGACACATTGGGTATCTCTGAGGGTGTGGTTCTTTAAGTTCAGGCTCTAGGAATGATGCTACCCCATTTAAAGTTGAGTCAAAGTCTCGGCCCTGATCATGGCCAAGGAACCCAAGCTCTCCTCTTGTGCTCACCTTCAGGATGGGGTCCCCAGTGCTCTCCCTAGCCTCTGCCCCTGAGGAAGAAGCTCTCTTCAAAGTGTGTATAGGCACTGTCCTCACTGCCCCTTGGATCAGGCCTCTAGAACTTGCCTCCTGTCCTGCTACCCTCCCACCTCAGCTTCCCACCTCTCATTTTCCTTCCTTCCACAAGCTTTTCTCTCTCAACACACTTTGCAATTTGTACAGTTATTACATTGCATCTTCTCTGCTCACATGGTAAGAAGCACGTAGGCTGGAGGAGAGCTGGCATCTCCTCCTAAGTAGGAGGGCTGCTTAGTTCACTGATGCCTCCCAGGCCCAGGGCAGGGCCAGCACACTCTAAATATTCATGGGGGAGCTAACTAAGGAGTGAGTGGATGAACAAGAGCACAAGGACCTTCAAGTCTAGAAGTAGCAAAGCAAACGCCTGTATACCCTGCTTCTGAGTTCTCTGCATTCCTTTACTCTTTGTCCCCAGCTGGTAGGTTCTGGGAGGGGATACAGAAGTGGGGAAACTCAAGCCAGATTGGATCTGTTTTGGAAGGATCCTGATGCTTTTCTGATCTTCCTCTTTGGAGAGTAAAACAGAGGAACAAGAGGAGTGAGACCAAGAGAGGAAAGAAGAAACTGGAAGGAGATGGCAAAAGGAGGGAAGCCTGGGACAGGTCCATCCCAGAGGCCTTCAGTAGATTAAAACTGAAAAGTGTTAGATGAGCTCCAAGCTCCTTTGAGGGCTGCCTCCTGAAAATGTACGGTAGGAGGGAAGCAGGAGGGGGGTGTATTTTCTCTTGTTGGAGGCTGGCCCCTTGGGTCTTGGTGTGGAGCAAGATCCTAAAAGCACAGCCCAGCTGTTCAGGTGTGACTCAGATTTTAATGCAAGTGGGACTTTAAGAACTGTTGGTGGGGGCTGGAGAGATGACTCAGTGGTTGAGAGCACTGGCTGCTCTTCCAGAGGACCCAAGTTCAATTTCCAACATCCATATAACGGCTCATAGTTATCTGTAACTCCAGCTACAGGGGATCCAACACCGTCACACAGGTGTTGTGTGTGTGCATGCAAGCAAAACACCAATGCACATAAAATTAAAATAACAAATTAAATTTTAAAAATAACATTTGGGAAGGAGACAGAGGAAGTGGATCTCTGAGTTCGATGCTAGCCTGGTCTAAAGAATCAATTCTACAACAGCCAAGACCACTCAGAAAAACCCTGTCAGCTACAATGAGAAATCCTATGCTGAAAAATAAAAACAAATAATAATAATAATAATAATAATAATAATAATAATAATAATAAATGAGAACCATGGGTGTAAATGCTCCCATTAGACAGAGGTCTGGCCCTGGCTGCCTCCTTTCCAAGTTCTGCCTTGGCCTCCTTGCCTGATCACTCCCAACGTGAGTCCATGGGTTCTGTCTATACCCTCTTGCTCTTGCTCATCCCCTGAGGCAGCCACACCTTCCTACCCCACACTCTTTACCTACTTGGGCCCCATCCATCATCTCAAATCCCATGGTTCACTTCCCCAGGCACAGCCTTGCTTGGGTCTTGGAGCTTGTGGTGTTGGTTTCTAGTCACTGTTACAAAATCTCTGGCAGAAACCACTAACAGGAGCATGTATTTTTGGGCTCACTGTTTGACAGGTTTTAGCCCACGGTTGGCTGGATCCATTGCTTTGGGCCTGAGGTGAGGCAGAGCATTGTGATGGTGGGAGCAGAGGTAGTGGAGGCTGCCTTTTCACATGGTGGCCAGGAAGCAGAGAATAAGTCCAGGACAAATTATAGCCCCCAAGGGCAAGCCTCCAATGACCTACTTCCTCCAAGCAGACTCTGGTTCTGGAAGTTTCCATCACCTACAAATGATGTCATCAAATATGAGGCCATCCTTGTATCACTTCACTAGGTAAGTGAGGGCCCTCAAGAGCCTCTCAATTCTCAAGGATCAGATCCACAGTCTGGGAACCAAGACTTCCACTCCTAAATCTTTTGGGGGACACAAACCTAACTAATCACAGCATAAAATACAATGTATTCCAGAATTCTGGGCTCTTCTTTGGGTGGTGTGTGTGTGTGTGTGTGTGTGTGTGTGTGTGTGTGTTTTCTTGTCCTTACTGCACTCCAAATGTCTTGAAGCCAGGGAAGGTGACAGACTCTTTTTTTGGATTCTCCAGGCACTTTTTAGGTGGTAGGTACTCAGGAAATCTCAGGGAGAGTTAGGACATAATTTGCCCAAGGCCACTCAAGTGGTTAGTAACAGACAGAAGCCTGACTCGGGGCCTTCCTGCCTGTAATTCAGGGTTCTTTCCTGTGAAAGGAATTGGAAAGCAGACTAATGATCCTAATTTCTGGATTCTGAACTGATAGAGAAGTTGATTGGGAGGTGGATAAGAATTAAAACACAGAATCTGCCTTTTACCTGGCAAGGTTACCTTCAGGGGTGTGGCCCGGGCCTGCCACTGGCTTGAGCTGGCCTTGCTCAGCAGAGTCCTAGGCAGGAGTTCATGGGAAGACCATGCTCATCCAGCCAAGGAGCATGTGCAGCTGCATTGGTACTGGCCCTCCCTTGATTGCCACCCCTACCCTCTTCACCAGAGCATTATGGACAAAGGACTCGAAGCTTCTCATCAAAAGAGCCAGTGGTTCTTGTGCAGGCTGCAGGGTCAAGGGTTCCTGTTCTGTAGGCAAAGGTGGAGGCAGCAGCAGCAGGTCTGAGGGCTGAAGCCTCATGCTGCATGCTGGATGGCGGGGGTGGGGGGGCGCCTCCATCATGCAGGGCGTGTCCTCAGTGCAAAGGAAGAGGCCCTCCCTCCCCCAACAGCATCTGCAGTAGTCTCCCTGATGCTCTTACTACTTTTGACGGCCACCTCTTCTATGTCTTCCCCCTTCTCTCTCTCTGCTTGCTCCTAGCTTCTGCCCTCTTCTCTCCTTCCCTGCCTTCATTCCTTTTTACTTCACAGGTGATGGGGAAGCAGAGGGACTCTGGCACATTGTTGGTCCCCTTTTCTAACACTGGCATCCTCACATCTGTCAAGCTGCCCCCCTCAACAATGGCCTTGGTAGTTCAGGTTCTCTGTACCTCTGAGGGCCCATCTTCCTTTCTGTCTTATCACTCGGTGGCCTCCCTGGAGCCCACTGAAGACCGGAAGCTAAGGGCAGGGACCAGAACGTGCTAGGCAATCATATGGGGGATGTAATAATAGAAATGCTTAGAAGATGTCCCAGAAAAACCCAAAAGGCCCCTTCTGCCACGTGGTCTTACTCAGTCATCCTGCCAAATAGAAACTCAAAGGGAGGCAGCCCAGCCTGCTTCTTATTCTTTTCTTCCCTCTCATCTTCCATCTCATAC